AGTGGGAATAGCACTCTGCAAAGCCACTGCTGATGGATGCACATGTCCCTCTTCCCCTTTGGGCTTTTGATATGGTCTGTCATACTAAAAAACTCTTTGGGTCCAGCAGACAGTACAGTTCCCCGCAACTGCGGCGCACGCATGCCACGGAGAATCGGAGATGATGGCGAATCCAAGATGCAGCAAATCATGAGACCAGCTTATGAGCTGAACGTGGAAGAGCAACACCAAGGTCCGGCGCAATGCTCCATACGAAACAGACTTCAGAAAGTCAGACAAGCAAGCTAGCTTGACACGCAGCCCCTGCTTCGAGCTGAGATTTCCACCTTACCGCTCCCTGTTCTCTTGCGCACCCCTAGTCAGCTTCTCCCCATTGCGTACCTGTGGTTATTTTCATGCAAGCGCACTCAGGTCCCTTTTGTTGTCCTTAATTGGCTGACACATACTGTTAACGTCCTTCATGAGGAAGCTGATCCAGCTCTGTGTCCTGCCGTACCTTACCAACACTGACTCACATGCTTAACCTGTGGTTAAGATCATTCTGCTGACTGTCACTCTTCATCATAAGTAAAGCCTGGGATCCGTTTTCGCAACACCAGAACAACATAGCGTCTGCATCGAGTTCCCTGCTCACTTCGACCAACCAGTGTCTACCAGTGTCTGCATTGATTGTCCACAAACACACAGATCGGGGGAAGTCAACTTGTGGGCCGTAGTCCGCCTGGTGCGGAGCGGAGGAAACACTGTGTTTCCCTTTAATATGGTAGCTAGAGGACAATTATCCGTTGCTTATGCCCTGATGAAAGCGGCAGACAGTCCAGCTATGTATGTCATGGAGGCGTATATAGACCTCAAGAACCAGAGTAGTAGCCTGAATCAGTGGATGTAGATATCATCAACACGGTGCTAATACGTACAAAGCATTATGCAGAGCATGACAAACCACTCAGGTGACACACAAGTGCAAGCACGGAGGAAAGAATTCCGATGGCAGGTAATACGCCTTGAAACAAGAACAACGAAGAAAGGATTGTGTACGCTGTGGAAAGATATTTGCCCGTAGCTGGATGGACAGCAGCATTTCCCTTCGCGGTAGCTGGATGACACGCGCCCGTGAAAGCGACAGACTGCTCATCTCTGTCATTGACGGCGTATGCAGGTCAACCACCACAGCTGAATTTGCGGATGGACAGCATTTCCCTTTATTGTAGCACACCATCGCATTCTCAGCTCGGCTGTCTGTCGCTTGGACGGAAGCGACAGACAGACAGCACTATAATGGTAAATTGACTTCATGACAGCCCACCCGTGCCCTCGTCCAAGCGACGGACAGCCGAGCTGCAATACGCCTCGACAACCACAGCTGAATTAGTGGACGGATAGCATTTCCCTTCACGATAGCTGGACAACAAATTATCAGCGGCATTATGTCCTGACGACAACGACAGACATCCCACCTGTCTGATGGAGGTGTATGCGTACACCTCAACAACCAGGGCTGCAGTAGCCGATCGACAGCATTTCCCCTTACGGTAGCTGGATGAACAATGATCAGCTTGCCTTTCGCCCTGATGAAAGCGACCAACAGCTCAGTAGCGTCATTCAAGGCGTATACACTTCCAACATTTGTTGTACTGAAGGCATGCACTTGTGACTGCGCCATGTTCCCGATTTGGTGACTGTTACCTATGATGTACCATCGATGAATCTGCTTCAGGTTGCATGAAACTAACTATATGACAGAGACAATAGCTGAATAGATGTTATGAAGATGCATATCTGGACAAGGATTCTGATGTTATGCAGGCAATGTATGACGGAGACAAAAGCGGAATAGATGTTATGAAGTTGCGTATCTGGACAAGGATTCTGATGTTATGTAGGCAATGTATGACGGAGACAATAGCTGAATAGATGTTATGAAGATGCGTATCTGGACAAGGATTCTGATGTTATGCAGGGCAATGTATGACGGAGACAATAGCTGAACAGATGTCATGAAGATGCGTATCTGGACAAGGATTCTGATGTCGTGCAGGGCAATGTATCTTGGACAAGGAGAATAGTTTACAATTATGGTAGTCGGCTTCACAACGAACCTCGCCCAATTTGAAAACACAACTGATGCAGTGACTTCATCAAACACAAACTGCGTCATCGCTGAACGTTCAGCTCCACTGCTTGCCGCTGTAACTCCATGTGCGGCTCCTGCTTTTGGAATACAGAATGCTCCAAGCTGGTCAGATGGAAACTGATGCTGAAGCTTCACAGAAAGCAAGACTGAACTGTCACTGAACTTGCAGATCGACTGGCCATCAGTGGCCCATCACTATAACTCAATGTGCAGCTCCTGCTTTGGGATCCAGAATGCACCAAGCTGATCAGATGGCTCAAATACAAACAACTCACTGTAATTGCCCGTCTCAAAGCCGTCATCATCACCGGGAGTACACGGCGATTGACTGGAAGCAGATGCGGGTGGCGTTTGTCCGACGGGCCCGGAACCAGGTGGAACGAACTGAGACCCCAACACAAGAGTCCCACTCAGACGGATCATCACGCCATGATGGCCATACGCACAACACTCCATGTTTTCGACAACGTGGACAATCTTCTGGTTGGAATGAAGAACCTTCCTGAGCTCTGACAGTGCGCCAAAGATGTCTCTGCTCCCGTGGTACAGCTGACCACCCATCCTGAGGGAATGGGGAACAAATGGAACAGATGAATTCAGAAGCTAGCACTTTTTTCCGCCCACTGAAGTAGAAGAATATAACATAGGTTATCGAGTTTAACATTAAGAAAAAAGAAAAGGAAGTGATGGACCAAACAAAAGTTTTCAAGTGCAGAACAGTAAGTCGATTCTTTGCATTTCAAATGAAGAACAGTCGGTCCATTCTTTGCATTTCAAATGCAGACAGTCAAACCACTATTTGCATACTTGCAGCACACCTGTGCGATGTGCAGGGCATAGCGCACAAATTTGGAGATCCACACGCGGTGCGCACACCGCGCAAAATGCAGGCAGCGCGGGGTGAGGTGCGCTGGATTGCGTGCATCTACACCTCGTGCACACACCTCAGTAGAGTGCTCTTTTTTTTTTTCTTCTCTTTTTTTTTCTGTGTGTTTGTCCGTGAGAGAGAGAGAGGGAGAGAGGGAGAGAGAGAGAGAGAGAGAGAGAGAGAGAGAGAGAGA